GTTAAATGAAACCCTAAATCTCAGGGCCTGATCCCTATTTAAAGGCCCTTATGGCCTTCATTGGCGGCTACCATCCCAGAGAGAGAACCCCCATTGATCTTGAGCGTGTAGAGTGAGAGAGAGGAGACCATTTGAGCTTTTGGTGTGATTTTGCAAGAAGGGAGAGGAGCTCCAGCAAGAAGGATCAAAGAAGATTGCTATTCTGAGTTAGCTAAGCAAGGAGTTCACCTTGAGGTATAAAATCGGATCTCTCTCTCTCTCTCTCTCACTCTCTATTGTATGAATTTCATTGATTTGGGGTTAGGGCTTGAATCCTTCCTTTTTGGGGGTTTTGGATGCCTCCAACCCCCTTTTTCGATTTGTAATACAGATCTGGACCCTTTTAGGTCCAGGAAGTCCCAAGCATTCAGCTTTATGCAAGCAAATGAGAGATTGGGGACTAGGTTGCCATTTTTAGAGATATTTCTCCATTTGTGACTTATCGTGGGTTGCATGCACGTAAAGGTTGCACCTTTACGTGACATTTGAACACTTGAAGGATAGATCTGATAATTAGGGAAGCAGATCTGACCTTAGAAGGTCTTTTGAGAGATGTTATGGAGGCAACTCGTCTAAGGGACTCGACGAGTCGAGTCGGGTTGCCCCGCGACTCGCGACCTGTGTTAACCCGTTGAGGAAAGGGCTGACTCAGCGAGTCGAGTGAGATCCAGGGGCGAAGTGGACATGCATGTACTCGCCGAGTCGCACTAGTGCACTCGACGAGTCGGGTCAAAGTTGACAGTTGACTTTCGTTGACTTTAGGGTTCTGGTCAAGACTGATTCAGGAGAGTTCAGGGAAGGGTAGAATGGCCTTCTACCCAATCTGTAGAGATGAGATCATGAGTGAATATTGATCGGGGATGTTATCTGAATAATAGGAGGAGGCTAAGTCGGACGTTGAGCATGAGAGTTTATCCGACTTCATTGAGGTGAGTCTTCTCACTATACATTACCTAGAGTGGTATTTATGTGTAGACGAGAGGGTCTTGTATGCTATGTGTATATATATGAGTTATGTGCATTGTGTTGTATGTATGCTATGTGTTGAACAGACCGGGCCGGAGGGCCCAACGATATAGACCGGACCGAAGGGTCCAACGACACAGACTGGACCGAAGGGTCCGACGAGCTATGACCGGACCAGAGGGTCCAACGAGCTATGAGACTGGAGGGTCCCGCTGAGACACATCGACCGGAGGGTCGTATTGTAGCCTCGAGTGGCGTATGTGTTGCATGTGGTATTTTGGGGAACTCACTAATCATTTATGCTTATAGTTGTTGTGTTATGTGTTTCAGGTACTAGCGAGGATCGCGGGAAGGCACCGACATGATCCGTACACACTGAGAGGATTTATGTATTTGAGGATCTTGGGATTTTTTTATTGAGATAACATGTGTTATATTGGATTACTATGATATTTTATGAATGAGAGTATGTTTTTTTTAAAATGAAAAATTGTTTTAAAATTTACATCGTTACAAGAGCTAGTGAGCGTGGCAGGGTGTCAGACCCTGAAGGATATGATTTCCAAGAAGTTGCAGATGCGAGATCGATTTGGAGCACCCTGGAAAGAGAGGGTTGTGCCAGGTGCGTATAGTAGAGGGTCCCGGGAAGAGACCCATGACTTTTGATCATCGGGTGAAGGGACAGCAGGGCCAGAGTCAGTGCAGCACGTACAAGAAAGTGTACAAGGGAGTCTGTCGCTCCAAGGGTTTAGGCTGCTACAGGTGTGGCAGGGTTGGTCATGTCAGCAGAAGGTGATCAGTATTCCTCCAGATGTTTCGGGTATGTCATCTTCTACTGCTATTAGGAGGATGTTGGGTATACGTATCGCTTCATAATTGTGAGTGAGTTTGGATAAGTCAGATATCGGGGCGGTTTTCTGCTAGTGTTTGGGTTATCAAGGATCATATATGTCATCCTGCATGCCGAAAGGTCCTTGATGAACCCACAGAGGGACGCATCTTGCAGAGTGGGTTCCGCGTGCACCGATATCATTCCAGATCTTTGTCGGGATCTGTGCAGAAGAATTATTTAGAGGATACTCGGTCAGGACTAGAGTTATAGTTCTCCAGTGAAGTCAGCGTTCAGTGATTCTATCATGGTTTAGGTATGGTCGACAATTGTCTATGGATAAACTTTGGAGTTCAAGGCACTACCGTTGTAGGGAAGGACTGGTAGTATGAAGACAATGAGGTCATTTGCGAGTGTTAGACGCATGGGTGTTCAGTCATTGGATGTTCAAGAGAATTGTATTTTCGCATGGGCTGTGTTCGGTTAGAATTCAGTGGTATTGCAAGATTGGGAGTGGGAACGAGGATTCGTCAGCCAGAGTGAATATTGAGGCCTTCAATTGACAGCACGGGAGATGGATTGAGGTTTCAGACTGGACCAGATTTCCAAAGTACTTTTCACGATTTCAGAGGATGGATGATCATAAGGTTTGACTGGTAATTGATCGTTAGCATTGGTAAGCACAGGTTGTCATAAGTGGGATATTAGAGAGCGAGAAGGATTGGGAATTCTTCAATTCTCACGTGTCGTGAAGACTTAGTCGGATCTAAGTGGGGGAGAGACTTTTTATAAAGTTCTCCAAATGTGAGTTCTGGTTGCGCGAGGTGCAATATCTTGGGCACCTTGTCAACCAGAAAGGTATTCTAGTCGATCCGGCCAAGATAGAGGTCGTAATGTAGTGGGAGATTCCGAGGTCTCCATCTGAGATTCGGAGTTTCCTAGGTCTAGCGGGTTATTATTGGAGATTTATACGGGACTTCTCCGAGATTGCGGTTCCTTTGACCCAACTGACCAAGAAGTCGGTGGCCCTTTCGCTAGGGGCCTGAGCAGCAGGCAACCTTCGAGACTCTCAGACAGCGGTTGTGCGAGGCACCGATTCTCACCCTGCCAGAGGGTGTAGATGATTTCGTGGTTTACTGTGACGCTTTGATCACAGGCATGGGTGCGGTAATGATACGATGGGGTCACGTGACAGCAGATTTCAGGAACCAAGTTAGAATTCCGGTTAGGACTCAAGTTCGGTGGTGTGTTAGGTCGAGTGCGTGTTCGACCCGATTTGGAAAGTGTTGTAAGACTACGGGGGTAGCCGTAGCTTTCACTAATAGTCAGATAGTATGGAAGGTGTTGTAAGACTACGGGGGTAGCCGTAGCGTTCACTAGCAGTCAGTTAGTATGGAAAGTGTTGTAAGACTACGGGGGTAGCCGTAGCATTCACTAACAGTCAGTTAGCATGGTAGGTGTTGTAAGTCTGTGGGTGTAGCTGTAGCATTCCCTAGCAGCCTGATAGTGATAGAGTGTTGTAAGTCTGCGGGTGTAGCCGTAGCATTCACTAGGTTGGTAGATAGTTGGAGCGCGTTGTTAGGACGCTGAAGGAACAGTAGTACCCACCGGTTCGGGTGTAGCAGTAAGGATATGGAAATCCACGGATTGGGTTTCGAAATCACCTAGACGGATTAGATATGGTTGAGCCAGTGATAAGACTGTAGGAACGCCACTACAGTTATGAGATCAAGGAAGCAAGAGATTGCTTAAGGTCGTTGGTGATATAAGCCTACCATTGGTTAAGTAGCAATCACTTTTAGTCTTGGATTGGATGACGTCAGGATTCGACGCATGGGCCCGATCGGTTGTATTAGGAGGTTGTTAGAGCCACAATGGCATGATAACTAGTGGCAACTAGTTTCAGAGAAGGATTTCTTTCAAAAGTCGTGTGAGGCGACTAAGTGGGAGTCCTTTGGTTCCGCAGCCGGGCCGAGCCCCGATATTTCAGACGACTGACAGATGAATTGAGACCAGGGAGGTCTCGATAGATTTTGGGAATCAAATATGTAGCAGCATACTACTTCAGGCAGTTCGATGTTCGAGCAGTCTCAGCGTTGGGCAGTGTTAGCATTAGTGCTTCAGGTTGCGAGTACGGACGAAATAACTAGATGATTGGGGAGCGTCAAGTCACACACAGTAGGAGTATCTGAGCCTGGCCAGGTACAAGCGATCTGCAGAGATAATTAGGTCTGTGATCATGTTTATAGTGGGAACCTCGAGTTATCAGAAGTTAAGTAGTCAGTTGAGGGATAAACAGACTGGATTCAACGATAATAATTAAGTATGAGTGGTCTGTCAGGGAATCAGACCATCTCAAGACAACAGATTTCAGACGGAGTAGATGTGATCTTGTTGCGAGGAATTCGTTCACATGCGGATTTTAGGGCTTTGCGAAGATTGGTCACAGCTACCCTGGGAAGGCTAGGGTGTGCCCAGGATGGTGACTATGTTACTTGAGTAGTTCGGCGCATAAGAGATGGTAAGGAATGATTTCGAGGACGGAATCAAATTTAAGTGGGGGAGAGTTGTAACACCCGTTTATTTATTAGTTAAATAAATAAATTAGTGAACGAATGGTAGCCCTAAAATAAACAATTATATATGCAGGGTGTTGGTTTCGAGGAGTTAATTGGCATAATTTAGAAGTTGAGGGTTAAAGTGTAAAATCCAGACTTAATTTGTAAGTAATATTGAAGACATGGGCTGCTTGGTAACAATTAGGACTCAATATGAAAGGAATTATGGAACCAAGGGATAAAATGTAAATTCTGGATTTATATTGTAAAGAATTATGGAGTCTGGGGTTAAAAAGGTAAACCATGGATTAGTTTTTCAAAGATTCTCAAGGGGGAGGGCTATTTTAGTAAAATCTGGACTTAATTTGTAAAGGAATTGAAAGGGCAGGCTTTAAATGGTAACTTATAGACTCCTTTTGAAGGGATTTCATGGAGGAGGGGCCGAAATGGTCATTATGAGAAATATTTGATGGGGGACGGGGTATATAGCTTCATTACCCGTCAAGCCCTAACCCTAAGCCCCTTATGTTGCAGCCACCATCGTCGGGGTTCTCCAGCCGTCACCCTCCCCATCTTCACTTCCGGTAGCCGCCACCTCCCTCCTACTCATGTTTCCGATCAACGACGACGCCAAGGACCACCGGTATCCACCTCCTCGTTCGACTGCCGCCGTCTTTCCGGAGTCCTCTCAACCGCCGCCGCCGCCGACGACGAAGTCGGAAGCCGCTGCCGTCGTCACTTGGTTCTCCCTCCATGGCTCTCGGCGACAGATCTTCTCTCCTCTCCGGTCCGTTCTCATGTTGCATCCCAAGCCACCGGTCGCCGCTGCTTCGCCATCCTCGTGCTCTTCTCCAGCCGCCTCGCTGCTAGACTCGATGTCGCGGATAACCGCGGCTGTCGCCGCCTTTCGCGCCGCTGCCACCGCCGGACGTTATGTTGCTATGGCCGCCATCGCCGAGAGCCACCAGGTGGGTGGCTAAACCTTTGAACGGATTCGTTACTGCTGCGTGGTCGTGAGCAACCGGAACCCTCGGGAGCGGGAAGGAAATTCATCGCAGCCACCTGCTGCCGCCATGCGCCACCTGTTGCCGCCTTGCGCCACCACCAACCACCATAGGGTGGCTGTGTGTGTGTTTATGTTGTTTAGTGTATGTGTTTATTTTGAGTTTCAGCATTGTAAAGTGTAAATTACAAATTGAATAATGGAAAGAAACTAAAAACCACCACCTTAGGGTGGTGGCTGCCGCCACCGGCCGCCGTGTCGGGTGGCGGTGTGCCTTGTTGGATCGTGACTTGTTTGGATGTTTGGACAAAGGGACTAACAAACCCTAATGGGCCCAATGAGGCTTAATGGACGTAAGAGCCCAAACATGAGACTGATTGGCCGAATGAAAACCCTAATGGGCTTAATGTAAATACGTAAATTTTCAAACAATTTTTCATTTTTCAAACAACATGATTATCATTTAAACATTCTCAAATCTCATGTTCAACAATTGTCATCAAATAAAACATATCCCAAGATCACAAATAAAATCCACGGTCTGTGTGTACGGATCATGTCGGCGCCTTCCCGCGATCGTCACTAGTACCTGAAACACATAACACATAACACTGTAAGCATAAATGCTTAGTGAGTTCCCCAAAATACCATATATAACACATATTAGCCACTCGAGGCTATAACTCTGTGGGGCCCACTGGCCCTAACTCTGTGGACCCTCTGGTCCTAACTCTGTGGACCTTCCGGTCCTAACTCTGTAAACTCTGGAATACACACAGCATAAATCACATAGAAATAATGCAGTGCAACACATCACATACATAGCATACAAGATACTCTATCACATAACTCTACTTACCACTCAAGGTAAAGTATAGTGAGAAGACTCACCTCGGGTAACTCGGTAAATCTCGAACTCGGAAGTACTGATCTAGCCTCCGCCTAATCACATAAAATAATTACTCTAATCAATACGACTCTCAAAGGCTAGGCTATTCCCTCTCTAAGTTCTCTCAGGAGGGTAAAAGATCATTTTACCCCTCCAATGGCTCAAAAGTCCAAACATTGATTGGACCCTAAAAGTCAACGAAAGTAAACGGTCAACTTTGACCAGACTCGTCGAGTGCACATAGGTGACTCGGCGAGTCCAAGCGTGTCCTCTGGGTCTATCTAAACCTCACTCGACTCGCCGAGCGAACCTTCCACTCGACGAGTCACCACTGGTCATGAATCGCGGGTCAACCCGACTCGACTCGTCGAGTCCCCTTATGGACTCGGCGAGTTCCTTCCATGGCAACACTCAAACGACCTTCTGAGGTCAGATCTGCTTCACCAACTAGTAGATCTAACCTTCTAGCACTCAAAAGTCACGTAAAGGTTCGAACTTTAGGCCCATGCATCACACTATCATCTCTATATGCCAAAATAACCCTTAATATAATAACCTAGGCCCCAAAACTCATAAAGGATTGCATAAAGCTGAAGAATAAGGACTCTCTGGACATCTCAAGGTCCAGATCTGATAATATTCCCACCAGGGGACATCACACACACTAGATCTCTTACCAAAGTGAAGAGATGAAACCCTAGATTCATGAAATCTATTACTCAAATGAAGATAGACATGAATCCTTACCTTCCACAGCAGCTCTGAACGAATGATGGAAGATTTGAGTCCCACAAGTCAGCCTAGCTTGAAATCCTTCCTTCCCTTTGCTAAAACACACCAAAGAATGATGAATTAGCCCTCCTCTTGCACTACAAGCTTTCTCTCTGCTCTCTAGGGTTTCTCAGGGGAAGGTGGCCGCAATTGAGGCTATAAATGCCTTTAAATAGGTCCCAAACCCGGGAAATTAGGGTTTCTCTGCCCAGCACCTACTCGGCGAGTCCCTCATCTGACTCGTCGAGTCCATTCATTAAATCCACACGGCAATCTCGACTCGACTCGGCGATTCGGTCCCTCAACTCGTCGAGTCCCTCCTTAAATCTCAAGATTAACATACACAACAATGTCCCTGAAAATCCGGATGTTACAATTCTCCCCCACTTGAATTAGATTTCGCCCTCGAAATCGCTCCTCCACAACATATAGATCTAATCCAATAACCAAACAGAACCAGCGAAAGGGTCTCATACCACACAAATATCTTCCTCTCTGGACACCTGAATCCAAACAGGAACTCCTCCCTGGAAAAGGACAGACCCATCTGCCACTACGCTACCCCTTATGACTCTCCAGAATCTGGAACTCTAGTAGCCTGACACACAGCCAGACCGCCCTCTCCAGATGTCACCACGTTATTCGCTCCTTGAATAACAAACCCCGATAGCTCACTGCCCCTCTGATTCTCTAGTGGGGACCGATATAACAAGTCCATGCCCAAAACTGGCTACCGATCACTCGTCCCAGACATGATAAACAATCCAGATCATATACCAAAGAATGGAAGGATCACATCACACCAGGGACTCATCCACTGTACTGCAATCACAACCCCTCTGAACAACGAACCCTCAACACCCTGTCCTCAGACACGAACAATGACCATGCTTGTTCAGAAGCGTCCTCCGACATCTGACAAGCATAAACCTCAACTCCCTTCTCAATATCCCTTTCAAGACTGAGCGCCAGGTCATCTTCCGACCCAGCAATTGAACCTCCAAAGGTTACCCATTGCGTGTACCAACACGCCTCACTGACTTCCTTATCAATGCAACTATCTCGGCTCTGTGTGACACACGAGTCACGAAGTTCGCTTCACCTCAAGCGAGTACGGAATTCGACTCGCTCTCGACCTCTGCCGTCTACTACTCATTAATTCCATGTGTTTCGCGGTTTTCTCATACCAACGAATTGACCCACTCCGGTCTAAGACACCAGATGGAACAATACCCCCTTCCAAATGAAGTGCATCTCTGAATCTGGAATCTCATTCCGTCTACTCAATACACCACTAGAATCGGACTCAACTCAAGAGTCTGATCCGGCACAGAATTGGAACCACTCGTCCCAACGAACCACTCAACTCATGACTCATGTCCCGCAACTCATGCGTTCCTCACTTATCCACTTCCTTTTGGTTGCGACAACCATTACTCAATTTCAGAATATAACGACTCCCGACAAATATGGAGTCCCCAGTCTCGCCCCTGGTTCGACCACCAGGCTCCCACAAAATCAAATATTAGGGCTACCCAAGCCCAAAACTCTTCTGCGCCACGCTCTGATCAGAGAGCACTCCGTCACAACATTCTCTTGCTGACTAGCAGGTACCACGACTCCCCGCAGTATCACAACGACCTCTCACTGAACAGTGAGTATTATGGCTCCCCGTAGCATCACCACAACCCCTCACTGAATAGTGAGTACTACGGCTCCCCGTAGCATCACCGCAACCTCTCACTGAATAGTGAGTGCTACGGCTCCCCGTAGCATCACCGCAACCTCTCACTGAATAGTGAGTGATACGGCTCCCCGCAGCATCACCGCAACCCCTCATTGAATAGTGAGTGCTACGGCTCCCCGCAGCATCACCGCAACCCCTCACTGAATAGTGAGTGCTACAGCTCCCCGCAGCATCACCTCAACCCCTCACTGAATAGTGAGTGCTACGGCTCCCCGCAGCATCACCGCAACCCCTCACTGAATAGTGAGTACTACGGCTCCCCGTAGCATCACCGAACCTCTCACTGAATAGTGAGTACTACGGCTCCCCGTAGCATCACCGCAACCTATCACTGAATAGTGAGTACTACGGCTCCCCGTAGCATCACCGCAACCTCTCACTGAATAGTGAGTACTACGGCTCCCCGCAGTATCACAACACCTTCTCGCTGACTGGCAATTACTGCGGCTTCCCGCAGTATCACCGCACTCTCTCGCACTAACTCATGGATGCTACATCTCTCTGTAGTCTTACCGTGCTTTCTCTTACCACTCCACGATCTCATCCTCAAGTCGACGCCATCCTGCGTTCACTCACTCATGCTCCGCGTCCGAGCGTAGATAGGTACACACACCCATCCCGGCTATGCATCACTACTTCGGATGACCACCGCCGTGACAAAACTTCTTTTTCTCGCTGCTATTCACATTCTCAGATAATCCCGTTTGGTGTGAATTAGCTGAAGGGCCCCCACCGGAACCATAGACACTTATACACCACTCGACATCTCATAACTCAAGTCTCGAAATAATCCAAAACTTATAACATTAAACTCGGATACTTTGGAATACTCCATTTCCTAAACTGAAACACGGAGAAATCGCCAACGGCTCAAAACACGAAAATGACCCTCCGAAACTCTTTCCTCTATTGCTCAAAACCAAGCGAGATTACGCATGTCGTCCCGGAAATTGGCTGCCTGATCATCTCTTACCCTTTCCAAAGAGCATAGAATAGTCCATTCATCGAACCAAAATCTCCCAACTACCAAAGTATCCCTATGAACCAACCACCTCGAAAAATTCTTATCTGCCACAAGGCCTCTGACCAACGGCCACCTGCCGTGCAGACACTCATCCTTTCTTGAACGCGGACAACATGCATTAACTCCCTCTGCAACTCACCTCGACCACCGATAACCCTGGTCTTGGGAATCCGCACCGCATGTCTCTATATCCAGTTCTCTAACCACTCTTGAACAAACCTCTGATCTCCTCAAAAAGTACCCGGTTCTCCCCCACTCAGGGTTCGAACCATCACCAATTGGTTCACCAACAATCTATCCCACAGACTGTTTTTACCAATAACATCGCACCTACTCTTGGAAGGTGATACACTATGCTCGATGATCTCCCTGATGGAGATCAAACAACTCCAAATACCCCGAATCTCAGATGGAATCCTCAGCAACTTCTCATCATGACTGCCTTTAGTCATTCAGAATCTCGCACCATCCCACTACCGGACATCTCAACTGTCCAGTAGTAACCCTGACTCTCTGTCTGAAAATAATGAACTAACATACTCCTCA